ACAGTTTATAGAGTGTAGTTTCAGAGGCAAATCATGTGGTTGACTGATGACCGTCGTTGTGAAAGCGACAAATTCAGTCTTATCAATATTTAGAGTAAGCTCATTTAAATTCAATTTGTTTCCGTGGTGTGTTTCATATTCTCCCAATTCTTTTCCGCGCAGATCAAGGCCGTGTCGTCAGCATAACAAATAAGGTGTTCTAGACCATATATTTTTGCTATATTATTCATGTAGGTATACAAGAAACAGAATTAGGCCCAGCACTGTTTCTTGAGGCACTCCGATTTTCACTATTGACTCCGTACTTACCTCATTCCCGATTTTTATTCTCTGGAGTCTATTTGTTAAATAATTGGACATGAGAATTTGTGGGAGACCGCGAATACTGTAGTGACTTAATTAGTTTAGTAAAATTTCGTGTGATATTGTGTCAAAGGCCTCAGCGAGGTCTAGAAAAACTTCTATGCATTTCGATGATTTTTCCAGGGCCTCTAGAAAATCAACTACTGCGCTTTTAGTGTTTGAATTTTGGATAAAACCATACTGCCTGTCAGTAATGACGTTATGTCTGCGAAAAAATTCCGTCAATATTTATTTAACTACTTGTTCAAATATTTTTGCTAGATTATTGATAACGGATGTTGGCCTGTAGTTATTTATTTGACAACAGTTACGTGTCTTAAAAATTATACTAATTTTGTAAACGTACATTATTAGTATCATTATTCATTTCTACAAAAGTAATAATTAGGTTATAGTAGTTATAGTATGTATGTATACACAAAATAGTCTATAAAAGATTTTAATAATAAATAACCTTCTCTTACATTATCATATTGATATACATAAAATTCAAGTAATAACATGAGCTTTTCTCAAGTTGAACAATTTCAAAATTGAATAGTTCAACTAAGATTAGTATAAGTTATCACTTCTGTTGAACGTCCCGAGACGCATTTTTTTTTTAATTGGCTAAGGTAGAGTGATTTATAGTCTATCCATTCCCAATTGGAACGGCAATAAAAAGATGAGTAGAGTCATAAACATTTATTGCCTATGGCCCCTAGTCGCCCAGATAATTAGTAAACGTGCTATCAAATGCAGTTGAGGAGTAAAGGCTCAGCTAGCTGGACTGGCTGAATACTAATTTTTTGTCGTTTCACAATATTTCTTTATCAGTGCCGTGTGTGTTCGTGGGGTTAGGTGAGGTAGTGAGTGGTTTTGCAAATCGATTTTTGAATACTAATTCTAGAGATCAATTACCCTAACACCAAACTGATATTTTTGCACTCGACGCGCGTTTCGCTTACAAGGTTAGCATCTTCAGGAGAAGCAAATTGATTTTGAATCTAAAGACAAGGGTTAGCTATTTATATACCTAAATATACAAATCAATTTGTCAACAATAGACCTGGAGACCTTTTGAAACAAATGATAACATTACGTGTGAGAAGTCTGTGTCAATCGACAGGGGTCCGGAATTTGAAAATAAGGACTAACATGTTCAAGTTCAGCGAGTAATTTTGAATATTCATGAATGCTTGGAAAAGGAAAACTGTCACACTTCACAGAATGCTATTGTGAATAGAATATGCGAGTTAACGAAACTATCTCGTTCGACAGTTCTTCGAGTCATTAAAATAGGGGATGTCATTGACCATGCAATGAAACGAAAACAAAGGAATAAAAAATTCGCAAACGTTGATGGTGCTACAAAAGATGTGACTCGGCGAAAAATTTATGGTATATACAAAAAAAATTAAGTGCCAACCTTGGAAATTATTTGGTATAAATTACTCGACTATCCCGATTACAATTACAAATCTTTAGAAACTCTAC